ACTCGCAGGGTAATGTTAAGAAAACATGGAAAAATCTTAACATGCTGATACCACGCAAGAATAAAAATGTGAAAATTCAATATTAAAAATTGATGGAGAAGAAATTCATGACACGAAAACAATTTCACAAAAATTGAATGAATTCCTCGTCAAAGTAGGTCCTTCACTTGCTAGTGTCATTCAATGTACGAGGCACATAAATGCAATTACCAATGTTATGCGATTCTTACCGCATACGCTGACCAATATCTCTCAAATTATCCCAGTAACCATAGATGAAGTGAAAAAACAATTGTTGAAACTGTCAAATGACAAAGCAATGGGATGTGATATGATACCGATGAAACTGATTAAGCTGGCAATTTCCAGTATTAATGAACCTTTAACACATGTTATAAATACCTCTATTAGTACTGGATGTGTCCCTATCGAATGGAAAAAGGCAAGAGTAAGTGCTCTACATAAAGGTGGAACAAATGAACCCACAAATTTTAGACCGATATCAATATTGCCAATACTTTCGAAAGTACTAGAACGTGTAGTGTTTGATCAGTTATATGACTATCTGAACAGTAATAATCTAATCAATGTATATCAATCTGGCTTCCGGCCACTGCACTCAACAGCCACTGCATTGCTGAATTCGACAGATCAATGGCTGAAAAGCTTTGAACAAGGCAAAGTGGTGTGCTCTCTAAAACTAGCTAGTAATACAAATTTGAATATTAACATAGATGGAACCCCTCTGAAAAGAGTTACTACGTGCAAGCATTTAGGAGTGATTATGGATGAAACTCTATCATGGACAGACCATATTAAATCTGTACAAAAGAAATGTAGTAGTGGATTGTTTATGTTAAAATCAATACGTAATATTGTTGGTAAAGATACATTGAAATTAGTATATAATTCATTGATTTTATCCCACCTCTACTATTGTGATGTAATATGGGGAAACTGTGGAAAGTGCCTTCAAAATGATCTCCAAAGAATTCAAAATCGGGCAGCTCGAATAATAAATGATACCCATTGGGATTCATCGGGACACTTCAACCTTAATAAACTTGGATGGGATACGCTTGAACAGAAAAGGAAAGAAAATATCGCTTTAATGACTTTCAAAATACTAAATAAAAAAGCCCCTTCTTATTTAATTGATAAATTTTCGTTCAGAGAAAGACCATATAATACGAGAAGTGGCAATCTATGTGTTAAGACAATCCAGCCTAAAACGGATAGTACCAAACGCACATTATTTTGTGTACAGAGGCGCTTGCCTATGGAACTCACTACCACAGGAATTGCAAGCTGCACAAACCAAGTACAGTTTCACAACAGGACTTAAAAGAATAACCAATTTATAATCATATACAGTATACTATGCTCAAATATGTCTATGAACTTTCGAATGTTTCCTTCTTATTTTTGATGTGTCCATTTGTGTGTTGTTTGAATTTATATTGTTGTGTATATATCTGCTCGGGTATTTTTAAATTTCCATATGATGTAATATAGTTTCATTTCATTTTATCCGAAAATGATTAAATAATAGAGTTTTATCTGCTGTACTTATTCATGATACTTATCTAGATAGAGATAGCAGGCTGAGGATTATAATTTGGCTTATCAGTGAAGGTTTTCAAAAAGTGGAACAAGTCCTACATTTATATGGAAATGTCTATTCTACATAAATGTACATTGTGCCCCACGCGTTACCACAGGTTAATAATATATTGTGTTAGTTAGATAAAGCTGATCCGACCTCTTTTTTTATGGAATTGGGCTGTCCCAAGGTATTAAACTCAGAACTTATTAAAGTTTCACTCAAATTCAATGTCGCATCTGTAAGTAATTCAAACATATTTCCCCGAATTCACAAAGGAGGTTTGTCGACAAACCTCCCTTTGTTTTTTACAAACCAAGGTTTGTAAAAACGCGTTGAAACGCGTCGTATGACGCACATAAACCTCGGTTTGTCGACAAACCTCCTTTGTGAATTCGGGCCATAATCTTTAAAAGGTAACGCGTGGACATGCACATTTTGAAACATCCCTCATTTGGATTTTGAATTGGTTCACGACCTGAAATTTCTAATATGAATGACCTACCCCCTATGCTATATGTCTGTGTTGATAATATATATTAAAAACTATTAAAATACATTAAAACGGATGAGGTATTTTTGAATGTCCCACGCGTTGATTTACATATGAATATATATTACTTTGGCACGTGACCGTGATTACTTTAAGAAAAGGTATGAAAAGACGAAGTGTGATTGTTGCTTTGGAAAAGTTCAAGTTTTATAAAAACAAAGCAAATAACCTAAACGAAAAATATTTAAAAACGAGTTCTCAGAATGCAGAAATGATTTGAGCAAAAATTGGAAGGTTTTGAAAAAATGCATGCTTTCAAGGCAAAAGGAGATAAACAACACAATCTTGATTGATGATAACAAATAATAACTGACAAAGTAAAGGTAGCAAATTTATTGAATGAAACTTTTAATAATGTGAGTTCAAATCTACACACTGGTACATGTCCAAGCATTGTAGATGGTAATTTCAATTCTTTACAAACGTTATTTCAAACCGATTTTTATTTTGAATTTCAAGGAATCAAATAAGAATTTGTTAGAAATAAACTACGCAATATTGATTGTAAAAAGGCTATAGGAATGGACGGTCTACATCCCAAGTTACTCAAATTAGATGCAGATATCATTGCGAAAAAACTCGCTATATCATTTAATCAATCATTAAAATCTTCACGATTTCCATTTGATTTCAAGGTTGCAAAGAGACTCCGATACACAAGGGAGGTACGTTTAGTGTGGGTAATTTCAGGCCCATTTCAATACTGCCCTCTTTGTCAAAAAATCAAGAGAAAGCCGTACATAAACTGTATTCTTACCTTAACCAAAATAATTTATTATCAGAACGTCAGTCTGGATTTAGACCGCTTCATTCCTCAACCACATGTCTCACAGAAATTACTGATTTTACAATTTTTTAATAATATGAATTCGGGTCAGATTACTGGATCAATATTTTACGATCTTAGTAAAGCGTTTGACGTTATTCCACATGAAATAATACTTGATAATTTTTTTTTCGAAGGCATGAGTAACAAGCTATATGAATGGTTTAAATCTTACTTAATTGGTATACAAAATTGTTTTACTATAAAAATTCATTGTAGCGAGTATTTAACTGTTAAATCCGGGGTGTCACAAGGGACAATTCTGGGCCCCTTGAATTTTTGTTTGTATATTAATGATATTAATAATTTAAAATTCATAATAATTCCAAGATGTCACTTTTTGCTGACGATACTGTCAATTTTAATAATTCTAACGATTTTTCTGAAGTTCAAGAACATTTACAGAATGACTTTGATTTAATATGTAAATGGTTTGATATAAATAAGATGTATATACCCTCAAAACAACTATGGTGATGTCCTTTGGATCAACAAGAAAGTTGGAGAACACTCGTCTCTCAATTAAATCAAATGGTTATAACTTACAGTGTGTCGAAACAATAAAATACCTAGGAGTTATACTTGACTCACAATTTACGTGGTCTGAACATATAACATGAATAAGTACTAAGATGTCCCGTCTTTATTGGATGTATTCCTCAAATAACATGCCTAATCCCCCATAAAGTTATTAGGTAGAAGTGTTGTGGTCGAGTGGGTACGTCGCCGGACTGTCGATCACAAGGTCCGCGATTCGAGTCCCGCCGCCGCACTAATGTCCTTTGGCAAGACATTGATCTACATTTTCCAAACTCCACCCAGGTGAAGTAAACGAGTACCTGGTAGGAATTTATTCCTTAAAATGGCAGCCGAGCTTAAGCCAGGGTTATAATCGGGAGCGCCAGGAGGGTCAAATCTGACTGACATGAGCGCTATACAAGAACCCACTATTATTATTATTAGTATAATTATAAAACTCTTGTATTAATGTTACCACATAGCGACTATTGTTGTACAGCTTGGGGAAACTGCTAAAAGACAAATCTATCGAAGCTGCAAAAGTTACAAAATAGATTTGCGAGATTAATTTTATATAAATATTTCGACACACCACTTTAAATTGGCAATCGGTCGAACAAAGATTACAATATCACTACGGTTTGTTAGTTTTTTTAAAATTATAAATGTCATGGCCCCAACTTATTTAAAATCACTTATCAATTATCGCACCTTCAAGTACTGTACCCGCTATTCATTGAAATCTCTTCTTGACATCCCATACCCGAATGAAAAGAGAAAAAAAATCTGTTATAAAGCAAGCACCCTGTTTAACAAACGTCCTTTCTCAACTCAATTAAGCAAATCAATTAAAACATTTAAGCGAGGATGCCAATTGGCAAAGCATTTATTATAGTAGAGTCTCCGTTCTGTTTCCCTTTACCGGTATAATTATTTTGTCTGATGTTATATATATTTGTACTCTAGATGATGTCAACTATGTCAATATTTAGTTTTTATGAATGTTCTACTTTCATGTATTCCATGTGTTTTTGTATATCACATGTTTGTTATGTCGTCCTAGAGGGCGTACTTGGAAAGCAGTTTTTTACTGAATGTAGTCCTACCTACCGTCTATTTTAAATAAAACTTAAATAATAAATCATCATTTTCAGAATAAGGATTATCATTATTATTGTAATTACTATCATTATTTCGTCATTATATCAGCTTGATCAATGCTGCTTTTATCTGATTAGCAAATTGAGGGCAAGCTACAACCCGTAGCATTAGGCCTCAATTACTTTTCATAAGAGTCTTGCGGTACCAAGCAGAGCTGCTTTCTGCAGGAGCTCTATCTTTGTCGTAACCCAAATCTTCTTCAGATGTTTGGGAAGATTGCTTGTGATCATGCCTATGCACCAACCACCACGGGGTAACCTATATCATATTCATTATTTGTATTATTCATAAGTAGTAGTATCAACGCTAACGTGTTGTTGTATTTTTTCCGCCTTTAGAATGATGCCGAATGCAAGTTCATGGCGCCCTCATCGTCCACCTGACCCAAACGTCAACTGGACATGCAGTCCAAAACAGCGGATTGTATTCTGCAAGACACACAAGACCGGTTCGACAACCACTGCAGCTCTTCTGGAAAGGTTCGGTTACCGCCGAAACCTGAGTTTCGCTATGGGTAGAAACAGTCATATTATCTCCCACACTAAACTATTTCATCATTCTATGGCTTTCAAAATTCCTAATAGAACACGCCAAGACTTTGATTTCCTGGTAAACCACATTCGCTTCAATAGAAAAGAGATGGATATTTCGGTGCCGAACGCTAAGTATATTTCGCTAATTCGAAACCCGATAACCCAACTCGAATCTGAATTCGGATACTTCGAAATGGCCGATAAGCTCAAGATCAAAACCAAAAATCCGTTCATGACCTTCATCTCGAATCCGCAGAAATATTATCACATGAATTCAAATATGTGGTTTCGACGGAGAAACGGACAGTTATACGATTTGGGACTCGATCATAAATACGATGAGAATTTCACAGTCATCAAGGACAAAATTCAACAATTATCCACCGAAATAGATCTCATGATGATGAACGAATATTACGATGAATCAATGATTCTTCTGAAAAGGATGATGTGTTGGGATTTTGAGGACGTTCTTTACATAAAGCTTGGAGTTCGGAGCGGCTCGCACCGTTATCCCCTAACTGCAGGCGCCGTGGAGAAAATCAAGGTATGGAACGCCGGCGACGTGATGCTCTACGATTATTTCAATCGCACTTTTTGGCAGAAAGTTCGCGCTTACGGCTCGACATTCTCCCATGACCTCGCCCATCTGCGGACCATGCTACGTTATGTGTCTGATAAATGTATACACTCTGATAAGAAAAACCTTAAAGATAAACGGGTCGAACAATTCGTCCTTTATCCTAACACATCGAAATATTGTACAGATTTGATACGCGACGACGTCCAATACACAAAGCTGATAAGGAACGAGATGATCGAACGGGGTCGGCTTGAGTTTGAGAACAAAAATCGTTCACTCGGATAGGACAGTAAACTGTTGAATATTGTAACATTTACTTTCTCTTGAGTAGTATCTATGAATAGAAATGTGACACGAGGAGAATGTATTACCGCAAACTTATACATTTATACACACCAACATGTATCACCAAACATTTAGAGATCTTCTCACTATAAACATGACGGACAAAGAAAGAGGACAAAATATACAGTTCCTCAGGTAGACAAAGGAACATCCCTTCACTGCTATTATGTAAAAATGTGTAGAACAGGTGAATATGCATGTGACACCTGATCTACACATTTTTACATAATAGCAGTGAAGGGATGTTCCTTTGTCTACCCCGGAACTTTATCCTAACACATCGAAATATTGTACAGATTTGATACGCGACGACGTCCAATACACAAAGCTGATAAGGAACGAGATGATCGAACGGGGTCGGCTTGAGTTTGAGAACAAAAATCGTTCACTCGGATAGGACAGTAAACTGTTGAATATTGTAACATTTACTTTCTCTTGAGTAGTATCTATGAATAGAAATGTGACACGAGGAGAATGTATTACCGCAAACTTATACATTTATACACACCAACATGTATCACCAAACATTTAGAGATCTTCTCACTATAAACATGACGGACAAAGAAAGAGGACAAAATATACAGTTCCTCAGGTAGACAAAGGAACATCCCTTCACTGCTATTATGTAAAAATGTGTAGAACAGGTGAATATGCATGTGACACCTGATCTACACATTTTTACATAATAGCAGTGAAGGGATGTTCCTTTGTCTACCCCGGAACTGTATTTTTTGTCCTCTTTCTTTGTCCGTCATGTTCATAGTGTCTTAGGGTGGTTTTGTGTAGGGCAATGACCAGCGTGAGTAAAGCACAGTTGTATTGAATGATCACGCTGCTACGAGTCTGTGAGGCTCTTTCGCACCGTCCAAGTCAGCGAAATATCAAGCGGTCAAGTATTGCACATAACCGATTCAAGAAATCCTTTGCATTCGATGCCATTGGTGAACTTTGTATTTGAGAGGGGAAGTCGGTGAAAGTGATAAATACAAAGATTGATGTATGTGTGAACGATTGACCACAGCTTTTTTTAATTTGATGAAGCCCTTTTTACAATGAAATGGAAACATGTTACATGTCATGTTTGTACACCATTAATTTCACATAGTTACGAATGAGCCTCACAGAGACAGAGAAGCGTGATCATTCAATACTGTGCTTTGCTGAAGCTGATAACGAGGATGTTATCTCAACCAACACGGATTTTTCTTAGATGTATTAATTTATAAACTTATGATCGTTTTAGTACAGTTTGTGAAGAACTAAGAAGTAAAACGAATTAAGTGAATTATGCATAAAGCCTCGGCTAGATCTGACGCGGTAAACCGCGGCGGGTTTTATTTTCTGATGACGTCAGTATCATACGCTTCATTTTCTGTATCTTCTAACACAGAGAACTTGAAGAACTTTGATTTAAAGAGAAGGTTCATTGATTTTAAAAACTAACTATAATGTCATTAATGCAAAGGTAAAACTTTGATTAGACAAGGTTATCACAATTCCATGTCTGGAAACATTCGAAGTAATGATTATTATCAATTACAAAACGCTTCAATACAGCTCCGGCATAGCACCTGATCGAAGAGCTCTCCGAACGCAGTTGAGATGTGTGACGTCACATGTTGAACATGATTTGCACATTCAGACGATGTTCCACGACATCTCACATATTTTAGTGCCTGTTTTGTCATCTTCTCTTCAGTTATTTCTTTTACTTCACTACTGTCAGTCTAAATGTTCAATCTATTGCCTCACTGATGAAAATGCATCGATAACAAAATTAAAGATAAACTTTAGTACTGGTAATGCGATTGCATTGTGAAAGAAAAGGTGTGGAAAGGATCAGAAACAGTTGATCATGTAGCATGTAAGTATTGGTGTGCACTGCAAGGTTCTGGAGTCATCAAAATCATAATAAATTTGACCGAGTCTTGGTAAAGTAACAAGCACATACACAGAAAGCTATGTATGGGACAACACGAATGGTGTCGGGGTTGGTACTACCTTGATTCCTTGTCTTTCTATGCTCATTACTCAGCCAGTATACATTTTCTTCCAAAATTGTTTGGCACATGTCATTTATTTGTAATCTTGAACATTCAGTGTAAGTTTCGTTTGATTCTGTGAGAAATAATTTTCTTTTTTTTACCAGTACTCAACCTTCTCTTTAAGGATTCCGTCGCTTGTAAACCAAATAAGACGCCATTGTATTTTCAGCTGCATACACCGCGGTATGTTTGGCGTTTTAAAGGCGAGAAATGCCGTCCATGCTATTATTCCGGGGGGGGGGGGGGTTCAATTTAAAAGTGTGGTCTTTGATTGTTTATTAACCCCTATCCTGTGTATTTACAAAAAAAAACAATTTAGTTATCAGAATCGGTTTCATATCCCATTTTCAATGGTGTTAACATTCCATTACATTTATATACACTAAACTTATCATAATTTGAGAAATAATAGTATTGCAATTATGTTTTTTCTTTATGGCATGTCGTCTGCTTGGGCAGGATTGGTATATATTGTGACGTCATTAAAACATCGTTATTTTTCTGAAAATCTCTCGTATATCCTAGATGCTTTTGGAGGTGGTTTTATATGTATTTGTAAAAATCACACGATATGTAGTTGACCTAAAAACTTGTGTGGTAGCCATCTGTTAGCTTACCAGTTTCTAGTGATACGTTATTTGCCATATTTGTGATTTTCTTTAAACGGGCACTTCAAGCTACACAACCATAATTCTCTCTTTTCATTTTGCATGTTATATACATGTATATAATATATATATAATATATATATATATATATACATATATAATTATATACGTGTGCGTGTGTGTGTATATATTACTTGGAGTACCAACCATGTCCCATTAGTCTGCCTTATTGAATATATATATATATATATATATATATATATATATATATATATATATATATTTATATACGTAGTTATACAGTGGTTTTACACATATATATACTCAGTTATACATACAGTTTATTTATATAGAGAGAGAGATATATACATATATGTATACATGTATATACCTAGGTAAAGAAAATGTGATACCTATCCGAATGAAGTAATTTAAAATTCTTTTCAAAGTTGTAATAAGTTCAAATAGACAGGTACCAAATCTCCTTTAACTAAATATGGAAAAAAATCCTTTCAACAATGTACCATCATGCTTTCAACATGAGTATATTCTAGACAAATATTAGGTAAAAGCAAAATGTTATGATCACTGTTTACCCTACATTTGGTAGATACTATATTATTTGTAGATTTTACGTGAAACATTGCTTTGTCTAGTTGACAATTAAATTCTCTAAAGTTATAAACTAGGCACCATTATGAATTCATTCAACTTTTTGTTAAATAGGCCCTGTTTATGAAGCCTTGCTGGCAACTAAATCCTCTGTAGTTTAGTATTATTAAATCTCTCATGTCGTAAGAGAAGTATCAATAGAAAGTGGGTTTATTCATGTTTTTAAAAGATACCTCATTTGTTAGGATTTTCAGTCATAGAATGTGCAGTAGGTCAAAATAAGGGTTAAAGGGATAGTTGAGTTCTGTTTCAGACCGCAAATGCCTTCAAAGTGCATGGTTTTTGCTCTTATTCTTATCTATGACATTTATAGTGCTCTTTTAGAACCTAAAATTGCTATGAAGGTAATTTTAGACCCCAAAATGTGTGAAATTTAGCCAATACAATCATACCAATTCAGCTCCACACGGTGACCGTCAATTAATTATTAAATTAAAAATAACAATACATGAACTGGCTAATTGCGGGTAATATATAAGCAACACGAAAATGCCAACAAAAAACCAACATCGGCATTGGCTGAATTACGACGTAAAAGGCGTTATTTCGTTTTTGTCAACGTTTTTTCAAATTTTTCAAAATATCTAATATTTGTGGTGGTACACAAGCATTAGAAATCGTTATATTTCAGCCGTCTCTGAACCGATTTTGATCAAACTAAGATGATTTTGTCATTCAAAAATTATTTGACACTCAGTTTTTCATTATCTCACAAAAATTACTTTGTGTAGCGCCCTCTGCAACAGAACTTAACTATCCCTTTAAAGTAAAAAGTAAAAAGTTGCAAAATGCACTGCTCTTGTTCGACTGTGCGTTCAAATTGCTCTATTGCACTGGCTTATCAAAAGTTGTTAACCTAGGCATGGTGCTTCAGAAAGTTTTGGACCAAATAGTCGCTTATCTTGCCTGACATGCCACCATGGTGTATGAATTTCTGATTTGTCTGATTTATTAGAATTTGGCATTCATGAATGACCAGTTGGAAACAATAGCCCCACTGTCATTCATATAAAATCACAGAACGCTCTACAAAACAATATCAGTGCTTACCGGTTCATTTTGCAACTTTTCTTTTCTGACCCAGCCCCTCGATATAATGTACTGCTCACTACATGACTGCAAAATCATAACACACATGGTATCATTTTAAAGACGAATAAGCGCTTTCCAATGATAATAATCAAAGCGGCCGTGGTAAGAGATCTAAATGTGATATAACGTGAGTTTCCAAACTTTTTTTTTTTTGGAGAGTTTTAGGAATTGTAGTTGTCTACTTGAGCTGGTTGGCAACTAGCCTAGTTAAGTTTTATGACTATGGATCCTGGTGTACTGTATTTACTATTTAATTATATAATTATATTACATTAAGAACATTTTGGGATATTTTAAGTGCCATCTGTATAGATTTCCAATGTCTTTCGTCTTTCCAAAGAAATAAAATGACTTCAACGTTACCAAATGGATTTTTTTTTCAATCATTGTGTGTTGTTGAGTAGTCCATAAATATATACAGAGGGGTTGCATTAGGTTTGTTTTCTTTAATTTGGCGCACTGGTGCAAAGAGGTGGGGTGGGGATGGGCTTTCTTAATGGGTTAATTAAATACACGAAAAGGGGACATATGTTGACACTGGTGAATCGGGAGGGCACAACCGTAATGTTATGGGTTGATGAATACGTGAGCACATAATTATAGGTATCATGGTCTGGAAGAAGGAAGATTAGTATTCGTGGATGGAAATTAAAATGTATCTACAGCTATTATCTTAATACCCTTCTACCTTACACTCTGAAAGTCTCACTTGCCAGTAATTGGATCAAGGTGTTCGATATCCACAGACAAATAGTTAAAGAAATAATTTCCATACATAATGGCTTAAACACAGATAACGATCATCACGACCGAAAACTTTGTGGCAGATAAAAAAAAAAGAGTACATTGTGTTACTCTGTCTTACATCATAATGTAAAAAGCTTAGTAAATGTATAATGAAGGTAGAAAATAAAATCGAACCAAATGTAATCATATCAGATCAAATCGAATCATATTATACTTAAATCGATCAGAGGGGAAAATGCATTCAATTGAATCCATGTGATTTCCATGATTTCTATGTCCATCTCGCATTCCAGTATCCTCGTTTTCAGAACGTAACAATTTGGTTATGATGTACTCATATAATCTCAATTTTAAGAGTGTTTTATTTGAGTTCTATGCAGAAAGCTCATTGAGTAAAGAATCACCTTGTTGATTTATGTTATTAATTGATAAAATGAGTATTTTTGATAATAGTAATACATTAGTAATAATAATAATAATAATTAACAGTTTTTGTATAGCGCATAACACATAGTAATAAAACATGTCCCTAAGCGCTCTAGAGAAAAACACAACAGAATACATAGACAATATGTACAGGGTAACAGACAACTGTTACTACTACAGGCGACAACGACTTCTACCATCGCAACAACAACTACTACTACTACTAATAATACTGATAATAACATTCATGATAATAATAATAGTAATAATAATAATAATGGTGTTTTCTCAAAGAGCTTCAAATTACAATATAGATTATGAACGAAAGGGGTCGTCACATGTAAACATTTGAAGGCCGTTTTGAAATAATGTAAACAATTAAATACAATGATACAATAACGTTTATTCATGAAAAGATAATTACAATGATGTACTGAAGTTTATTCATGACAATGATACAAATAAGTTTGTTCATAAAAACACATAAGTACAACGATATGATAGAGTATGATAGTAAAAGCGGAAGTGATGTGAAAAAGTGGAAAAATACATGAGCAAAGAAGAGTGACGGAAGGACGAGAGATAAAAGGGGAAAGAGAGATAGTGGGGAGGGAGAGCGGAGGAAGAGGAACAGGACAGAGAGTGAGGGAAGGTTGAGAGATAAAGAGAGAAAGAGAGATAGTAGAGAGGGAGAACGGATAAACAGAGAAGAGGAACAGGACAGAGAGTGAGGGAAGGTTGAGAGATAAAGAGAGAAAGAGAGATAGTAGGGAGGGAGAACGGATAAACAGAGAAGAGGAACAGGACAGAGAGTGAGGGAAGGTTGAGAGATAAAGAGAGAAAGGGAGATAGTAGGGAGGGAGAACGGATAAACAGAGAAGAGGAACAGGACAGAGAGTGAGGGAAGGTTGAGAGATAAAGAGAGAAAGAGAGATAGTAGGGAGGGAGAACGGATAACCAGAGAAGAGGAACAGGACAGAGAGTGAGGGAAGGTTGAGAGATAAAGAGAGAAAGGGAGATAGTAGGGAGGGAGAACGGATAAACAGAGAAGAGGAACAGGACAGCTTTAGAGTTGATTTTGCATGATATGCCACCGATGATTTGATGGTTTAATTTGAAAAGAACTAGCAAATCCTCTCTTGATGTATTTTGTAGATGTGTATGACGCTTGTACTTATAACTTTAGAGTTCAAATTAAAGGCATTATATGAGGACAAAAATTATTCAGGACTTTGAAACTCGTCATCATAATGTTAACTGGAAGTCTGGAACCATTCAACATATGATGACGAGTTTTAAAGACCTGAAGAACTGGAACCATTTAATTTCTAAATTCTTGGGTTTTCCCAGACTTGACACAGGGCCGCCCATCCAGCTCCTAGAATGTGGGGTTTGATAACACAGTCCCATTGTGGAAATGTAGCTGAACTGATATAATAATAATGAAAGTCATGATGGTCAAATCTACCTGTAATCTTGTGTGTGTGTTAACGTATTAGTATCCTTTCACATTTGTTCACTTGCAGGAAGTGGTCCTATCCAACTATGGCAGTTTCTCCTTGAGCTTCTCACCGATAAGACATTCCAGCACATCATTAGCTGGACCGGAGATGGCTGGGAATTCAAGCTGTCCGACCCGGACGAGGTCGCGAGACGGTGGGGCAAGCGCAAGAACAAACCCAAGATGAACTACGAGAAGCTTAGCCGAGGACTGCGCTACTACTATGACAAGAACATCATCCATAAGACGGCGGGCAAGCGCTACGTCTACCGCTTCGTCTGTGACCTGCAGAGCCTTCTGGGATACACGCCCGAGGAGCTGCACGAGATGGTCGGCGTCAACCCCGCACGAGACGATGACTGAGAATCCCGCGATGTGCACCGCGCAAGAATACCGGACTTGTGTGAAATTTTGAAGTTGCGTATTAGACAGAGGACATGACTGTTGCGTAAAGTTTATCGCATTCTATTTTTGAAAGAAAGTTATTCATTGGTAGAGGATATATTCATGTGGTGAGGAGTGTCGCTTTTCCTCGTGTAGAGACATTACACATTTGTTATTACACATGTGTTGTAATCGAACTCGTGAAATTCGTGAAATTCCGCCATAGTCCTCTAAATTTGTACGTACATCTCTTCAGAAATTTAATTAGCAGCAGTGCAATTTGAATAATTCAGAAGCATGCACTTTTTTTTTATCTGTATAGGTTGAGAGTTTGCAGAATGTTAGATAAAGTAGCATTCGAATCTGCCATTAAATTCGTCCAAGTATGTCTTTTATGCCTTAATTTTCAAGCTATTGAGAAGGATTTTAAATGAAATGAAATTTTGACAATTTTTAATCCTTTTATGGGGTTAAAGCCTACAAAACTGTACTTAATCGTGTATAAATTTAATGCTTACATGTTGCATGCTTTTTCATATTTTTGTGAAGAAAAAAAAACTTTGATATGTCATCTGGAATGACATTTTGGAATCCAACCAGTTCTCTCCTTTTTAAAGTGAAAATGTACTATTATAGTTATTAAAGTCCTACGCATTTCCTGTAGTTTTAAAATAGTAGATGAAAAAGAGAACCAACAACTTATTTTTCTCATGCGAAAATGTCTGAAAGTGCTTTTTGAAGATGAGTCATGTTTATACCTACTTCAGTTTTTATTCCACTTGCAAGAACATTCATGTGACCAAACTTTTGTTATTGCTTGCTGACTGAACGAATGAATATTATGACCAGGCTGAATTAGGTGGCGTGAGACAAGGTTCGTTCCTTGAAAGCCAGCAACTTGCAATATATGATTTAATTCAAACCTTTTGATTTACATTCGTTAGAAGTACATTCCAAAGTCGTCTGCATTGTACCATTGGTGCGCCTTGTATAAAAACATACCAGATGAAAGGGGGAAAACTAAAAATTCAGTCGCCTTTGTTGTAAAATAAGCTTTTTGACACACTAGAAGAAAATGATTGTATTTTTCACAATTTTTGTAAGTATTGTTTATATTTCTGTTTCTACACACAGACCGTAGATGGTCAAAGATGATGAATATTTTGCTTTGAGTTTTATAGTGGTGTTTTATAGTGCTTGCACTGTTTTTCACCCGTTTCAATTATTTTTTTCTGACTGTGAAAAGTCCTTTTATGTCCTTTTATTTTAAGGCAAAACAGAAGTAATGTTATCTCAATATGTTGTTTCTGTAATACCTGAAAATGCTTTAAAAATATGAACTTCATTTCAAATACCCTGACTTATTCATCCTCCAATATTACATACGATGGAAGCTGAAGAACTCGCCTGTTCTGTCTATTAAAGATAACGAGGTATACATAATTGTTTAAAAGAGAAGATTTTGTGTTTTTCTTAATATATTGAAACCAAAGTAAACTACATGGATACCACACTATGCACACAAGTGTTATGTTAAGTCTCGGTAACATGTTATTTATATTTTTATTTTTTAGAGGATTGAGTTAGATTGGTTAATATGCCTTGATCAATTGTTTTTGTTTTTGTGTTTCCTTCTCACGTTTCTGTAAACGTCAATGTGTTCACAGACGTGGACGGTGAAAAAAATAAATTGTGAAATGTCGACGTAAATTGTTTATTTCAAATTGTTTCCATTTGTTATAAATGGTTTTGACTGATCTGTATATAAGAGGAGGGTTTTGTTTAACAAATGTAATATCAAACATTGAGGGAAATGTGGATGGTTAAAAACAAATGTAGAGCAAGAGGAATATTGAAAAGAGGATAAGAGAACGGGGAGAGATTGGGAGAGGAAAGAAAAGTGAGCCAGACAGAACGGGACAGGAAAATGAAGAGAACAGAAAATTAGAGAAAATGAGATAAAGAGAGAGAGAGAGAGAGAGAGAGAGAGAGAGAAGAGGGTAGAAAGAATAGAAAATATTGGGGAAATAAAACAGAGAAAATGAGCGTCGAGAGAACACATTCAAACGAGAGAGAGCGGAATGGAGGAGAAACAAGATAGAGTGCGAGAGAGGAAGGAGCATGGCCTAAAGAGGGGTGATGTATTGGAAAAGGGGGAGGGGGCATTTTGTTAATTGGATTTTCAAGGGGGGGGGGGGTGGTGAGAAAGACCTGATGTCTTATAAATGAAATGGGAGGGGATATTCAGCAAAAATGGAAACGGACTGAGGACGGGAAAGTAGATTGTTAGAACAAAAACAGGGGAATCTAAAACTGTCACCTAAGAATAAATAAGATACAAGTATTAGAGAAAAAATCAGAATGGAAGGAGGCTATGAATGTGAAAAGAGGAGGGGTCTGGAGATTGACGTCTGCATAAAATGACGTCATAATAAGTCATTCCATTTGTCTTCCATCACGTTAAGACAGTAGGCAATCATTGTTTAATAATTACAACAACAAAATATAATTGTGATGGCAAATTAGCTATATCGTCTAGGCCCCTTCGATAGTAATTTCAAATTACGTAATACGCCAACTCATGATGCGAGCGTGGCTCAAGAGCTAGCGTTTGAATGGTTCTTCATGTTTTGTTTTTGCTTATTGCGAGGGAGGGGGAGGCGGTGGCAAGGTTCCAAGATGAAACAAACCCCCGAAATGACGAGCTATAACCCCCGTCGTATTTCGCTTATAAATTGTGATTTCGAGAAAACTTTCGGAGGACAGTACATATGAAAATACAAAGGGCTAATCGACTATTCATGGGATCATGCAACAATTAACGATCTGGACATCTATATGGAATCCAAGAAAATAGTATGATACAAGTCGACCTCAATACCCCTGCTTATTTCGTTTTCGAAAGGTTTCATGTTTTAAAAAAATCTCGTCATTCTTTGCATTAATTCATTGAATAGATGATGAGTTAAAAAATTGTACATTTTAAAATTAACAGTAATGGCATGCATGAAAAACGCAGTTGCATATCAGCGCCGCGACTACATGTGTTTGTTTTTTCCCTTAGTCATAAATCGTTTCCTAATACGCGATCAAAATATCAACTCAAAAAACACGCTAACATTGCTTGCTTTATACCGGGGCGTCGCCTTTTAATCCATTGCCCTTCGAGGAGACGATAACAAAATGAATAATCACTTTTGTTTTTTTCGGCTTGTCTCACGTTTAAAATCGCACCGTCTTCACTCGGAGGCGGACCAGGTTTATTTTAAGGGGTTACTTTTCTTTTGATGATCGTTCGTTCGTTCGTGGGTTATGATCTTTTGAAAAGTTCAGTCATAAGGGAAGATCAGCTGAAAGCTACTTTGTTGCAAGTTCTAAAGATTCACCTGGAGTCTTGGAACTTAAATAATATACATACAGAAATATTTAGAATTAGACCCAAAGATTTATCTCAAAAGACGATAGCAAAATATTTCAAAATATTAATACAAGGGCACTTTGAATACCATATTATTGTGGGGAAATCATGACCGAATCATTTAATATGTTACTATAATATTCGTATATTTCACTATTCAATAAACAGGTTATTGGAATGCCCGAGATTGATTTTTAGAGAGTCTTAACGATCTTGGCCGATCGGTTTTCATATCTTTAAGAGGCCCTTTGTTTTGAAAGGGTGCATATTTTGTTGTCCACTTAGAGTATGCCACATTGGCTTAAAAGGGGGAACACGAGTGGGGGGGGGGGGGGGTCGCGCTCCTTCCCCAATAAATTTGCCCGTGGTTTTTTGGTAGCCACGGTTTTTTTATCTCAGGTTGACAATAATTCATGATGACACAAGGATGAGGTGTAAACAAAAGAGGGCGCTCTTTCGGAAAGGAAAGGAAGAGGACCCTCACTGCGCATACCTCACGTGCACATCACTATTGTAAAACACACAACAACAACACATTGATAATATATAATAAAATAATAAATGAATACATAAACAAAAAAATACATAACAAATATATAAGTAAATACCTAAATTAATTCATAATAAAAAAAATTTTAAAAAAATAAAGAAAAAGATGAATACATATATTTGCTTAATGGCAATGGAACTTAAATAAAACTATACGTCGAAAGGACGAATCTGTTCATCTCGCGCAGCCACCCCACCCATCCAAGCAAATAGTCATGCCCTGCTGTAGTAGGTCCATGATCATACTTCTTGATAAAGCAAATCTAATGTTAAGAAAATTTCCCGCGTCTCCGGACCACCCCCCCCCCCTTCTATTCATCGTGTAGCTGATCCATATAGAGTATTGAGATATTATAAATCTACGAGTATGCGAGAGTATGTTAAACCATGGAGCACCAAATAGTTCCCTCCCACGTACAATCTCTATAGGAAGGTAATATCTGTGAGCTTCATGAAATGCCTGACCAATCAGAAGCAACTTCCGGTGACGTAACTATCCCTCTCAGGTAGCTATGAGCAAGTCTGACAAGCGCCCTTTAATCCTGAAAATGACAATGCAACTGAAGGTGATGAATAACGGGTAAACAGGCGTAGGGCTGAACGAGCGACAGTTGTTTAATCTCAAATCATCGGCTAAAATGCCATCGTCATCAATCAACTATTGCCCTCGAATCAGCCAGACGGGTTAGTAATTTTTAATTTAAAGGGCAATCCAACCTTTGAAATGATTTCATTTGAGTTTATGAAAGCAGGGAAATATTAAAGAGAAGCGAAATGGCGAAAGTCTGAAATAAAACAATTCAATAATAGTAAAGCTTAGCTAAATATGAATTTTTTAAATATATAATAGCTATATCGGTATATAATCCGTATCAGGACGTTTACCTCCTGGAAAATCACCACCGGAAAACTACCCGTCAAGGACAATTACCCCCCCCCCCCCCGGAAAATTGTCAATCATACATTCACCCAAAAATATATAATTATTGCAAATATGTTTATATACAACCCTTGTACGAAACAAATCTATTCCGTCATAAATAACTTAGAAAATAAAAGTTCATGAAATTTTCTGGTGAGTAGCTCGCATTATGCGTCACAGTGTTGCAATTCCTCGGGGTGTAATTGTCCACGGGGGGAGGGGGTGTAATTATCCTCGGGGGTAATTGTCCTTGGGGGAGGGGGTAGTTGTCCTCGGGGGTAATTCTCAGGGGGTATTTGTCCTTGGGGGTAATTGTACTCGGAGGGTATTTTGTTGGGGGTAGTTTTCCGGGGGAGAAAAAGACACGCCTGGGTCACATAATTTTGGAGAAATTTACGTTTGAGTCTTTTTGAGTGTTTGACAAAATATGAGAGCGACAGTTAAGATTACCCATTTGGCCAATTTGTAAATGTTAAGGTAAAGTTATTACATTTTTCCAAAAATGTACAACTTTCTTTAAATTTTCCTTGATTTATCTCAACTTTCACCCAGGGGCGACGAGGCGACTTCCAAAATGGGGGGGGGGGGCACCAACAAAAAAGGGCACTTTCTGGAGAAGTGCGTGATTTATTTCATCTTTCACCCAGGGGCGGCGAGGCGATTTCCAAAGTGGGTGGGGCACCAACAAAGAAGGGCATTTTCTGGAGAAAAAAGGGCACCTACGAATGGAAAATATACAATTTTATAGACATTGGTATATACCCCTACATTGTGATTAACTTATCGTGGATGATTTCAATATTCTTTTCTTTTTATACATCATACAAGATATTGCTTAAGCATCATACTTTGCAGTTAGGTGTGATGGTCTGAAAATTCAATTGCGAGCGATCGAGGAAATTTGATAGATATTTTTGAGGTCGTAGTGCAAAAATATACATCTTATAAAGAGGGAAAACCCCAATCCTGATGGGGTTATCTCATAACGAAAGACTGAAACGACCTTTGATAAGTAACATTATTATATCATCTATACATTTGGGGGTATTGCTCTTAGTCGCTTGAAATTAGTGGCACGTTTAATGATGAAAGGAAAAAGGGGACACTTATCGAAACGGATAACACACTTATTAGAAGAAGAAAAAAGGGAGCACGTTTCAAAGTACAAAGGGTAATTATCAGAGGTGAAAATGGGGCATTTCTTACACCTAAAAAAAAGAGATCCACCAGCTAGGATGAACAAAAGGCAGCTTTTATGAGAAGGTGGAAGAAGAACTTATTTAAAAAGAAAAGGAGGCACATGTAAAAATAAACGGGGCACTTATCAGAGATGAAAAAGGCTAATTTTGAGAAGGGGAAGGGGTGCTTATAAGAAGTAAAAAGAGCATTTATAAGAAAGTAAAAGGGGCGCGTGTCAAAATAAAAGGGGCAGTTAGTAACGGCGGAAAGGGACACTCATCAGAGATGAAAAGAGCACTTATCAGGATGGGAAGGGGCACTTGTCAAACGATTATCTCTCAGATTTGAATAGGGAAAATTATCGGAAGTGAAGGGGGCACTTGTCTGAAGTAAAAAGGAGTAACTTCGCGTATCTGAAAAGGGTCATTTACCAGAGATGAAAAGGGGCACTTATGGAAAAGAATAGGGACACTTTTCATAGTTGGAAAGGGGCATTTATGAGAAGTGGAAGGGGCTATTTTTTAAATGGGGGCACTCGTCATAAGGAAAAGGGGCACTTATTAGAAAGGAAAAAGGGTACATGTCAAAAAAGGGGCTTTTGTCAAAGGTGAAAAGGGGAAGGGGCACTTGTCAAAGTAAAAG